GAGGAGTATTTTTACATAGAACACTAAAATCAGGTTTCCATTTGGTCTGGGCGATTGTAACCATGTTTAAGGCTGCAGCTAGACTTGATGGTACGAAGTATTGCCATAGCAGCTGCACAGCAACAATGAGAGTAACAATCAGTAATATTAGCAGCAAAAGGAGATAGCAATGACAATTAGGAAAAAGCAATGTATAGTGGTTTATACATCCTATTTTATGTGAGATTAAAAATTATATAAAATAAAATGACATATACTACCAGATAAAATCCTTTAGAATGAACAAGGGTGGGTGCAGGGCCGCCGAGAGGGGGGGGGGGGTAGGGGGGCAAATTGCCCTGGGCCCCGAGTTGCTGGGGGCCCCTGAAAAATTTTTGTTGGGCCCCAGCCTTTTTTGTGTGTTAAATATTTCCGCGCAAAGGACAAGATATCTGTTTTCTTGGGCTAAGTACCGAATTTTGGCATAAAAAAATGAGATAAAGTCCCTCGAAAGCAATTGCAACGTACTCGTCCGGAAAAATTTTGTACTTCGGAAAAAAAATTTTACCCCTAAAATGGTACACTGACCGAAAATTTTTTGGCGACGGGGGGGGGGGATTTTTAGATAGGGGCCCCTAAAAAAAAATTTTGGCCCGGGCCCCCGCCAACCTCTCGTCGGCCCTGGGTGGGTGGGTGGGGAAAAGGTATCGAAGCGCTAAACTTGCTGCAGCTAAGCAAAGCATACAATGGCAGAATGAATACCCAGACCGAAGCATTGATCACAAGGCATCAAACAACCTCCTTTGATTGATATGACGTCACAGACTCCCCTCAGCGGATGTGGCCTGCATAATACATCCGCTGTTAACCTTGCTTAATTTAAATGTATTTAACCACATCAAGAGCTGATGTGATATAAATAATACATTGTCAATTTAACTAGTCTGCAACCTGTAAAGACTGATTTGCATACAGCACACACAAGACAAGATAAATCCAGATTATTTCACGTCAGTGACCATGATTTAGTTGCAACATTTACAACGAAAGGGATACCAGGTTATCAATTTAAGCAAATTCCTTCAAATTTAATTGCAACCCCCCTTGTCATTTTCTTGAAAAATTTTAATAGCCCCCCCTTCTAGTCATTTATTTCTACATATGCCCCCTTAATTTTCCCTCCCCCCTTCCATAAATAATGACCGGTCCCTTAGAGAACTGGATCAAAACTTTACATCTGTTAAATTTAGAAATAAAGAATGGACAAATCCCGAACTAATGAACATTTAAAGTAACTATTTCTATAAATAAGTAGCAATTTTTGTATATAAAATTATAACCATGCATGTATAAGTGATTCAAGTAGTCAATTGTAGGTTACCTCAAGAAGTGAGATTTACAATTGTATATATCTATAAATGTTCTATTAATAAAGTTTTCATTATTATTATTATTATTATTATTATTATTATTATTATTATTATTATTATTATTATTATTATTATTACCCCAAAAATAAACTGCTCATGTAACTAACTAATATCCAATATGACGCTTATAACTCTACTAAGGAAGTTCTCAAAGATTTCCGTTCTGGACACGAAAACAAACTCCTAAACCAATTAACCAGTCAAGGATCCTTTTTCTGCAGCGTCACGAAGTTCGCTTTACCTCAGCTTAGCAAGGTGTGGTCCGTCGCCCAATCAAAGCTCCCGAAAAACATTTACAACTTTACCATTCGTTACATTAACAACTCTCTTCCGACGCGCAAAAACCTAAACAGATGGGCAATATCTTCAAATTCAGACTGTTCTTTTTGTCTTAGCCCTGAAACATTCCTACACATAGTAGCTGGATGTCAGTTTTATCTCGACCGATTTACGTGGAGACACAATTCAGTCCTGAACTTTCTTGCTCATCAGTTACAAACTGTTGACGGTTCTACTCTCTACGCTGATCTAAATGGATTCAAAAGCCCTTCAATACTTACTGGTGATACGTATCGCCCAGATTTGTTATTATCATGCTCAAATGGTTCCTTATTTGTGGTTGAACTCACCACTGGTTATGAGACAAACCTCAAAAACAACGTAAAACGGAAGAAGGATAAATATAGAGAATTATTGAGACAACTAGGTAAAAATTTTAACCAAGTTAAATTTATAAATCTCTCCATCAGCTCTTTAGGTATTTTTGCAGAAGAACGTTATACATTTTTAGACATGTTAGATAGTATTGGTCTTGACAAAAACCACCAAATGTACTGCGTTAGGAAAATGATGACTATTGCTATTAGAACTACATATTACATTTTTTGTTGCCGAAATAAGGAATGGGAAAATCCGGATTTACTAACAATTTGACTTATCTCATTGTATATATATATATATATTGCATGCACTTTGTTCTGTTATTTTAGTTTAGTATAATTGTGATTCAAATAGCCAACCGTAAGTTACCTTTATGAGAGAGATTTACGATTGTATTTGTATGTAAAGAAAAACATTTAATAAAGTTATGGTATTATTATTATTATTATTATTATTATTATTATTATTATTATTATTATTATTATTATTATTATTATTATTATTTCTGTGAAAAATTCCACACTTTACGCGGACATTCCTGGTTTTATGAATCCATCTGTTATCACGGGAGATCGTTTACGACCTGACCTTCTGCTGGTGACTGAAAACAGATGTTTATACATCCTCGAGCTTACAGTCGGTTATGAATCCAATCTGCAAGTTAACGCCAATCGTAAGCGTCAAAAGTACCGTGATCTAATCAATGAGCAGGAAGCAGATTATGATAAACTGGTTAAGTTCGTCAATTTATCCTTGAGTACCCTCGGAGTTTTTGGCCGATCTTCTGAAAATTTCGATGGCATGCTAAGTAGCCTTAAATGTGATGCCAAATATAGTAAATACATAAAAAAGAAAATCGTGAACATATGCATACGAACATCATATTATATATTTTGTAAACGAAACAAGGTGTGGGATAACCCAAAATTAATGTTAATATAATCCTTCTTAAAATAATTATTGTACAATAAATATATAGTATTATTATTATTATTATTATTATTATTGTTATTGTTATTATTACTTTCTTGCAAAAACTTTTCAAAGTTTAAACGAATGCAAATTACATGTTGATCTTCCTGGATTTGAAAGCCCCTCGATTATTACGGGAGATGCATATCGTCTAATGAAGATTTAAAGTAACTATTTCTATAAATAATAATTATTATTATTATTATTATTATTATTACGTGCTTAAAACAAATGATAATCAGAGTTGATAAATGTAGCACCTTTGGCATCAAGAAAGTTTTGACAAAATCCGTTCAGTACTTACCGAAACTACTAATTAACAATGGTCTCATACCTACTATTCAAATGGGAGAATCTTTTAAATATCTACGAAGCTTCTTTGATTTTGATATGTCCGACCAAGAACACAAATCTGAACTAATGTCTTTCATTGATGAACTAATGTCTGATATCGACCATAAACCTCTACACCTCAAAAACAAACTTATTCTATACAACCGCTACGTTCTATCCAAAATATCCTGGAATCTCACTGTTGCACCCCTGTTGAAAACCTGGGTAACGGAAGCAAACGATTCTGTGATTAATCAGTACATCAGAAAGTGGCTTGAAATACCCATTTATGGAACATTAAGTAATATTTATCTAACCCATAACAAATTCGGTCTGAATATCCTCCCTGCATCCGTCAAATTTATCCAATGTCAAATTGTCCTACGCAACGCTTTAAAAACATCCCCAAATGATTCCATAAAAGAACTCTGGAAATCAACTAACAATCACACTAATATTCAGTACGACATATATAATTCAACAAAGGAAGTTCTCAAGGATTTTCATTCTGGACAAGAAGAGAAGCTTCAACACCGTTTAATTTGTCAAGGTTCATTTTTCTCGAATGTTGCAAAGTTTTCCTTTTCACAGTTAAACACACTTTGGTCTGCCGCTCAATCAAAACTGCCAAAGAACATTTTCATTAATAACTCTCTTCCTACGCGAAAAAACCTTACAAGATGGGGTTTGGCTTCAAGTCCCGAATGTTCCTTTTATTTGTGTCCTGAAACCCTACTATACACGTGGTAGCCGGCTGCCAATCGTACTTTCTGCGCTTTACTTGGAGACATGATTCTATTTTAAACTTTCTCGCTGAAACGTTTCAAACAACAAATCCATGTCAACTTTATGCTGACCTATCCGGCCACAAAATCCCGTCAATTATATCTGGTGACCTATATCGACCGGACTTACTCCTAATTACCCCAAATGAAGATCTTTATGTCGTTGAACTTACTGTCGGGTTTGAATCTAATCTACATAATAACGTTGAACGCAAAAAAGCTAAATACAAAGATCTAATTGAAGATGAAAGGGGTCAATTTAATTGTAAACCTATCAATGAGCTCTCTCGGTGTGTTTGACAAAGAATACTTCACCTTTTTAGAAATGTTAGACACTATAAGAATGGATAAAAAGCAGCAACATTACCGCATA